AATAAACATGAATCCATTATTGGTTACATGCTGATCCCTACCCACTAGGTTTAATCACAAAAATGCACAGCAATTTGTGCGAGAGTACAGTGGTATCAAACTATTTCTCTTCAGAAAGATCACAAAAGGTCTACATGAAAAGGGAAATTCTTCTTTCTGTGTCAGGTTTCACAAGTTTAGCAGGCGTGTAACATGCTAGTATTTGGATGGGGATCTAACCGAGGGATGGCAAACTATGTGTGTCCCCAGAAGGTGGTACCATCTTTCAGACCGCATATAAAACCCAACGTATGACTATGAACACCTTTTACTTATCACATTTTTCAGGAGACTGGGTCCATAATGCTGTCACCTAGGCCAAACACTTACTATGAAAATGAAGAAACTGTTGTATTAGGTCAGCTAGTAATCATGTCATAGCTAGCGCACGCAGAACTGTACTACTCTTCAGCATCCGTTTTTACCTGCAAATATTATCACACTTACTTTGGTATTTTACTGTTTTTCTGGGAATGCAGTTTGGGATAGATGTTTCTGCCTCTTGCATTAATCCATAAAAAAGATAAAGACAAAGGACAGCAGAGGTCCCGCTCATCTTGAGAAATCCAATTAGACTACAAGGTATCTCCACTTTTAATTCCTTTGACATTTAAATGTTTTGAGTCAGCATTTTCTTTGTGGTTCTTGAAAACCTCTTGTTAAAAGGTCTCCAAAGTAGATATTCGTTGACTTTCACTAGTTAGCGCAATTCCAAGTAGCATTTCAAATTTTCATTGCCACAAACTCCAATAGAAGTGCCCTAAAATGAAAAACTATCTGAGATTAATTCAGTGGGGTTTTTTTAACCTTAACTTTCACAAGAGAACTTACACTTTTTTCTTCTTAGGTTTTTACAGCTACGGCCTAAATAGACAGCCAGCCCCAGATGGCACAACCCAACACTTGCTTTCCGTATGTTTTTTTCTTGTAAACCAGATTGATTGCTTCCTGCAACGTTCCTGTGCAATGGCACTACACCAACAACTCTGTCCACAGCCCTCACTCCAGCGTGTCTCGGCGGATGCAACTTTCTCATGAAATCAAGGGGCCTCTACACAACTGACTGGAGTGTCTGTCAGAAGAAGCAAACCGTGGATCGTCTCCTGAGATGCCCTGGAGCACCACAATGCACCCCCCAAGATCTGAAAACACCAACCCCGGAAGCGGTGCAGAAGATCGGGAACAGGCCATACAGGAAGGTTGGATTGGAGACACGACAAAGATGATGGCTCCGGCTTTCTCAGCTTTGTTTTAGGTCTTTGTTTCAGAGTGAAAGGCACGTTTCAGATTTTCTCCAGGCCAGCAGGGCACCATGTCACAAGAAACTTTTGGCAGCAGGCAGCTGTTTGGGGTACCCAGGGGGACAGAAGGCAGCTAAGCCCATGCCTGCTTTTGCATGCGAATTCCTTCGCTATCACGATACAAACCTCAACTGCTTATGACAACGGTTAGATGAACACCTTGCTGGGGTCGTTTGACCCCAGTACTCTTTCCTGCCATGGCAGGGAGTCAGACTAGATGATCTGCTCAGGTCCCTTCCGACCCTAGAAACTATGAAACTGAAACTATGAAACGGAGGAGCGGCTTGGCGTGCCATTGAGGTTTCTCGCCGCCCGGTACCCAACAACAGAGCACCGATTCACCCTCCGGTCCCGTGAGGAAGCAAAACGCCACGGGCACTGCCTCCTGCGAACACCCCCACCACGGTCCCCCTTTGCCTCCAGAAACTCACCCGTAGACCGGTGGTGGGACCGCGTCCCCAGAACCTTAAAGCGAGGGAAAAACCAAGAGAGAAATAGAAATACACCGGAGAGAGAAAGAGAGAGAAATAAACTGGCAAGGACTCAGAGAAGCACCTGCAGAAACGCAGTGTCGCCAGCTCTCACGATTTGTGGCGTTGTCCTCAAAGCCTGTGCTTCGGGACTGAAAAACGTTGCTTTGTTTTTTTTTATAGCTAAATAATCACGTTTACTTCTACTAACAAGAATGTCGGTTATTCAAACGACATAAGCACCCACTTGTTACTAGCTTAGCACTACTGATTTACACACACAAAAACCAGCCAATCGTCCTACAAGACTGTACGTCGGGCTGTGGCTAGACAGATGCATAAGAAGAGAAAGGGCCAAGGTTTTCCCGTTCCCGAGGCGCAGACTCTGCGGACGCCGAGCTGGCAGGGGTGGAGAAAGACACTAATGCGGACCAAGGCCCGGCGGGGCGCAGGGGGCAGCCGGCCCCGCGTGGGCTGGAGCCCCGTTGCCGCGGGACGGTTGGGCAGGAACCCGCA